CTCACACTGTCTCTGTCTCAAAAAAAATAAACATTTAAAAAGGTGCCTGGGTGGCTCAGTCAGTTAAGCGTCCGACTTGGCTCAGGTCATGATCTCACAGTTGGTGAGTTTGACCCCTGTATTGGGCTCTGTGCTGTGAGCTCAGAGCCTGGAGCCTGCCCTGGATTCTATGTCTCCCTCTCTCTCTCTCCCTCTCCCGCTCATGCTCTGCCTCCTCTGCCTCTCAAAAATAAATAAATTGTTAAAAAACAACAACAACAACAAAATTTGAACTGAGCAACAGTAGAAATCACATAATGGTGTTATAAACTAGAAGACTACACACAGTGATCTGTAAACCTTTTTAATATTAAAAATTTAATATGCTCATCATTATCCCCATCAATGTCATTGTCACTGTTATCTGTTTTTAGATATTTAGTGTATATCGGTTTAGGTCAGTACCCAAAACAATAACCAGTAACAATTCTGTAGGCAGTTTTACTTGGCTCACCCCATATCCAAAGGGTTTTTTGTAGTATGAGGGAGAAAAGACTTTTTAATTTTTTTTTTTTTCAACGTTTATTTATTTTTGGGACAGAGAGAGACAGAGCATGAACGGGGGAGGGGCAGAGAGAGAGGGAGACACAGAATCGGAAACAGGCTCCAGGCTCTGAGCCATCAGCCCAGAGCCCGACACGGGGCTCGAACTCACGGACCGCAAGATCGTGACCTGGCTGAAGTCGGACGCTTAACCGACTGCGCCACCCAGGCGCCCCGAGAAAAGACTTTTTAAAACTCTGTAGCACTGCGTTGATGAACATAGTATTATCTAGTACTTGAGAAATCGTAGGTGGTGCTAAGATTATCACAGAATTTAGCTTAGGCCTAATATCTTATCTAGGAATTAAAACCCCAGTCTTTATTTTCTTTGGAGGTTTTTGTTAATTCTTTGCCTTTAAACTATTCTACTGACATACTTATAATAACAAGTAGTTTTTATAGGAGAATGGTAGGGAAAAGAGGAGTGGGTTTTATGCCTATCAAGTGAGTAGTGGGTAGAAAATCAAAAATGTTAGTCTTCAGAGTATTCCCCAGATTGAATTTAGAACTTCTGCTGGCTCTACATAACTGAACTCTGCAAAGCTCTGCACTTCCCTGCTGACACCTTCAGTGTTGCTCATGTGGAAAATAAATACTCCAAAAAATGTTAGGCTGGTTCCAATCTTTTAAAAACAGAGCATCAGCAGATAACACTGTTAGGGAAACCATTTATTTTCTTCCAACTGGTTACAAATTTCTTTTACAAAAGATGCTTATGTCTTTCTTTTTATAGATTGAAAAAAGAATAGCTCAGGGGTAGTCTGAGTGGAGCACATTTATTGTCCTTGTGTGTGACCTTGGTTTGTCTTGACTTTAATAAAATTGAATGTTCTTTGGAAGCTAGGTTCTGTTACATGATGCTTGATTTTCATCTGATTAGATGTAATAGAAGAACACTAGGGGTGAAGAAACCAGGATTTCACCAATTAACACAATCTTTATAAGTCTTCATTTTGTATTCGATTTCATGCAAATAAAACTATATGTTGGAACTTACTCCAAAAATTACCTAGGGTCATTTATGACACATTAAGACTTGACACTTCACATTCAAATTTGAGAAGAATGTGAGAAAGCTAGAGGCATGAAGACATGTTTAGAAGTCACTTTGCCATTTTGAATTTTAACATAAAAAAAAAAAAACCCTAAAATTTAAAGCTTTTGGATTTCTTAAGATCACAGTGGTAGCTTAGTTCTGAAATTTTCCAAGTTGTTTCTTTGTATGATTTTCAGTAACAATGAGAACCAAACAAAAAGATTAAGGAAAAACACCCCCACAGGTCACATTTCAGTAAAACCAGGACCCAGAGAAAACCCACGACTCCCAATTCCTTGTAAGTTTAGCCAGAAACAACTGAAATGCCCAGAACCAGTATTGAAGCCCACAACAGTGTAATAGGGGAGAGCTCAAGGCATGAAACAGAACCCCCCCCCTAAACCAGATAAGGTTTGTAGTTAGAGATAACGTGACTTCACAGTAGCACCAGGTTTTGAAGAAGTCATTTAATTCAGTAGCAGCAGAGGAGAGAATCCTGGAGCAAGAGCATCACCCTTCTGTTAGGAACCTTCTGTTAATCCCATCCAGGGCAGTTCAACTCATTTAAATATGAAAAATGAAAAAGCAATAAACCAAATCTTTAGAGAGGTACTGTGAAGAAAAAGAACCAGCAAAACTTTCCTTCATGTAACAGCAGGTGAAAAATTATATCCCAGTATTCTAAAATGAATTAAATGGCTTAAGGAAGCTTGCAACTGTCAAGAAGACTACAAAGCATAAGTTCAAGAATGCAGATGAGATGGCCAAATAATAGGTGCAAGTGAAAGTGGACCTGATAAAATTCAGGAAAGAGATTAAAGAAAATTATATTGGGGGCGCCTGGGTGGCTCAGTCGGTTAAACGGCCGACTTCGGCTTGGGTCATGATCTCGCAGTCCGTGAGTTCGAGCCCCACGTCGGGCTCTGTGCTGACAGCTCAGAGCCTGGAGCCTGTTTCAGATTCTGTGTCTCCCTCTCTCTGACCCTCCCCCGTTCATGGTCTGTCTCTCTCTGTCTCAAAAATAAGTAAACGTTAAAAAAAAAAAAAAGAAAGAAAAGAAAATTATATTGGCACTTCCAGAAAGTAACAATAATCTACAAGGTGTGTAAAGAATAGGTAAGTGTCATATAGCATAGAAATAAGAAGAGCTGATAAAGAAAACAGAAAAAAGACTTAAAAAGGATTAGCCAGAAAATTATAGATGGAGAATGCAGTCAAAAGAGAGCCAACATACATATAATTGGAGACATTAAAGAAGAAAACCAAGACCGTGGAATAGAATAAATATTTATTAATAATTAATTCAAGACTACTTACATATCGAAAAGGCATGCTATCTTCAGGGGAAATTGATCTAGACATTCAACTCTAAGGTATATTGAATTTCAAAGATAGAGCATTTTGATACAGCTAGGCAAACTTATCAAGTCACCTAGAAGAGAAATCAAATGAGACTGGTGTCAGATTTTTCTACAGCTATGTTCAATGCCAAGAGAGGCAATAGAGCAACATCTAGAAGGTATTCAAGAAAAGACAGTGTGAATCAAGGGTTTTATATGAAGCCAAATTGTCCTTCAAGTATAAACCTTTTGGGGGGAAATTACTAGAAAATAGAATACAATCTAGCCAAGAAGTGGCTGGAGAAACTTTAATCAAAGCATTGGAGATCTCAGCTCATTAACATTCTCCCCGGGCCACTAGATCATTGTCAGGCTGAATGTATACTTTTACTGCCCTTCTGCCCCACAATCTATGAAATGCAAAAGAATACACTGGTGGTAATGTTAATAAGAAAGAGTGTTCTTGGGGAACTTAAAAAAAATGGGGAGAATTCCTTGAGTCTCAAAGTGTATATAGCTAGGGCAAGTATTAGATGAACAATTGGTGACTGAACAGCAGGGCATTTTCCAGTTTGAGCAGCACTTACCTTTGATAACTGTCTACAGATCAGGTGTTGAGCATAGACACTGGAGCTGGAATGATGGAACAGTACTCCCAGGAGGCAATGGAGAGCTGCTCTGGCGCCCTTGACGGCATCATGTCTCATTTCTCCCCACCGGTCCCTTAGGGAAGGCTGCTGGATATGAAGAGGCGGATGAGTAGGGATTCACAGATACAAAAAGGCCTATAACAGCAGCTAAAAAATTTCCAAATAATTAATACCATGAGACAGGGGTACTGAATTCAGCAAAGTAAGAATTAACAAAAACAGCTAGAACTGTAAACTGAAGAAGCCTTTAAGATAAATTTAAGTGATGTTTTTAGAGTAACTCAGGAGGCTGTTTCATCCATGATAAAGAAGTATCTAGAAAAAATATAAGTTAAAGATTTGACAGCAAAGCCGCAATCTCAGTGAATTGATTAAAAAGCTCTCACCTTTAAGTGGTTACTAAATTAGCTGAAATTATGAGAGAAATGTTAAGGAAAAGAGAAAAGATCCTGAAGTTCTAATATCCACCTAATAGGAGTTCTAGAAAAAGAATGGAGGCAAACCAAAAACAGCAAACCTCAAGGTTAAAAAGGAAAAAAACTCAGAGCTGAAGAAAGACAGGTTTTAGAATTAAAACACCAGGGACAGATTAGGATGAATGAAGTAAAACTATCCCTACCTGGATACTTCCTTAATGAAATTTTAGAACCAGGAATTAAGAGAAAATCCTAAAGGCTGCAGAGAGGAAACTGGTTACCTTTGTAAGTAAGCAAGGATCAGATTAGTATGAGGCGTTTTTAGAGGTTGGTGGTTTGGGCAACACTGCTTTGAAAGCTTGAAAGTTTGTGAGGAGAGAATTATTTTGAACCCAGGGTAATCCTAGCCAATGTTGTATTCATTTGATAGAGTAAAATAAAGACTCTTTTGGATTTTAAAACATTGGGGTGTGGAATAAGTGACTAGCCACTATTTGATTTTAGAAATTAAATTTCTAACTTGATAGAGTAGATGAGTGAGTGGTGTTCCAATTTTTGACTTAGGTGATCTCTGGAAATCTTCAGAGAAAAGATGTTAATATTACCATACAAACTTTAGTAATCATTAGCTGTTCAGAAAATTTTTTCAGAGATTAAGAGTGAAAATGAAATTATAAACTGCTGAACAGCATAAAGTTTCCTAGGGTGATTAACACTTTTTGTTCGATAATTGACTCTCATTGAAACTGCTTATCTTATCCAGGGAAGAACCGAACTGAAGGAATAAAATTATTTCTGTTTTGTGTCCTGTTCGTTCTAAGATATGGGAAAGAATTGGTGAAGCTACTACAGTATCTTACTCTTTTTTTTTTTGAGTTGGTTTGGTCTGGTATTCTGGAGAGAGCTACCGAGATAAAGTTATGTTTATGCTTCACCACTAATAACAAATGAGAATAACCACATTAAAATTAAACTTCAATATCCCCAGAAGGAAATAGAAACCCCTTTTGTAGCTATATGAAGCAGAAACATAAGGACTGGATAACAGAGATTGGCCAAAAATAGTGTGAATTTGTAAATTTATGAAAATTTAAATAGGGTCATATAATGAGTCACTCAAGATTTTCAACCTGATTCTGAGGTGCTTGGAGAGATCTGAGCAGTAAGTACTTGAGACAGGGTAATGTCTCAAGAGTGGGAATACTTTCAACTATATTCACCAAGATTTCACCCTTGAGGAATAGTAGATTTTCACCTTAATTTATGGAAGGTTGTCAGAAACCTGGCAAGTGACTGGATCTTTTTTAGTGGTTAGGGGAAAATTAGGAGATGCTAGAATCTTTTCTTTTTAATATGAATTTAAAAAATAAAATTTATATTTAAAATAGGTTTTTCCTAAAAACAGTACAAAAATAGATGAATGTCACAATTTGATGGGAGGAGAAAATTGAGCATACAATGGCTGGTATTTGTGCTTTGGCCAAAAAAATAGATGTTTTGTATATGCAGTTTATTCTTTAAATATCAGTGCCACTTGTGTTCAACATCTGATTCCCAACTTGGACTTATATAGAATTTGTCCAGTTTGTCTGTCCACTTTGAAATAGAATTTGGTTCTTATTGTCTTGCGGCATATGGCTTTTTTCTCAGAGATCCTTTTATGAAAAGCCATGATCTCCTTGAGTGGAAAGAATGAAAGAATCAAGGTTGGCTTTTGAACATAAATTGCAAAACATACATCAAAGAAAATTAAATATGTAGTGTGTTAAAGGAGGTAAAGTCATCACCACAGAAGTCAGTCTGGATTGACTGCAAATGTCTTTGTTTGTTTTTGCTATTTTGTAACAACATAATCTGAAGAGTTTTGCAAAATAAATACAGAAAGATGAATTCAGCTGTGTCACTCTTATTGACATATCTGCTGTCTGATTAAATGGTAGCAAAATTAATAGGATGGATGCTTGCCTAGAATAGAAAGAAGGGAGTTTTTTTATAAGGAGGATAAACAGGAGGGTGTGATCACTTTACCGATAGAGTATGATCAGTATTCAATCTTAGGTATAACTTAGCACTTCATGTATTATTGATTGATTTGGTAAAAATTACACAGTTTAAAGAAAGCATAAAGCTCTTTAACCCTATATATTTTACTCTCACTGGGAAAAATGGAAACCTGACCAAGTATTAAGGAATCCATCCTGAATCTCTGCAGATGGTGAGCATTATTACAGTACGTGCACACGGTAACCAAGGGTGCTATTTAGTGTTATTAAGGCAAAGTTTAGTTTTTTGAGAATCTAAAACTGCACACGTTGGTTTCATTTTAGCACATATGACAGGAACAATCTATAACTCTTCAATCTTGTCTTGTTCTGATAGATGTGTATGGATTCAGAAAAACATATGATCTACACCTTTGGTGGTAGAATTTTGACATGTAATGGCAGCGTAGACGACAGCAGAGCCAGTGAACCACAGTTCAGTGGGTTGTTTGCTTTCAACTGTCAATGTCAAACTTGGAAACTTCTTCGAGAGGACTCCTGTAATGCTGGGCCTGAGGACATCCAGTCTCGGATAGGACACTGCATGCTATTCCACTCAGTAAGAATATTCTATATATCGTATTCTTATTTTGTCATGTATATCTCAATAGGAAAAGGAATAGTAAAATCTAAATCTTCAGAAAGAGGTCAAAACTTTTTATTAAAAATAAATGATTAGTGTTAGCAATGAGAAGCAAAAATAAAACTTCCTTAGCCAATGTACTGTTTGGTAATTATGAGACTCTTCCCACTAACCTAGTAATTCCTTAATAGTTATTACTCAACTATTAATCAAGGCACTTTTATGACTAACTTTACTGCTTATACAGATATTGTAGCTATTTCTCTTTCTTAATACCTTTCTACTTACTGATTTCTCTTAGTAACTGGAAGATCAATTGTTCTCTTTTCCTCTCTGCCACTCTCCATTAAGTGTGAGGAATTAAGAATTGACTATATAGAATTAGAATTTAAATTTATCAGCAAAACCAATATAGAAACATTTGTTTTACCTTTTCAGATGTTATAATGAAAACCTGGGCTTCTTTCTGTGAACATAACTTTAAAAACATACTGTGGGCTATTTTGAACATATATCAAAGTATAGAGAAGAGTGTAATAAATTCCTGTGTACTTATTTATCTGTCTCAACAATTAGCAATATTCCACTATTCATTTTTCATATATCTGCCCCTTAATATTTCACTTCTTTCTTTGATGTTTCTCTGATTTTTAAGTTTATTTTTTTAATTGATTTATGTTTTAATTTACATCCAAGTTGGTTAGCATATAGTGCAACAGCGTTTTCAGGAGTAGATTTTTTAAGTTTATTCTTAAATTTTGTGCTGGGGTATTTTAAGGCAAATCCCAGACAATGTATCATTACACCTGTAAATACGGTAGTGTATCTCTAACAGATAAGGACTTTTTATAAACATAATTATGATACCATTATAATACTGAACCAAAGCACCAGCAAGTTCATATTATCATTAATATATAGTTTGCATTTATTTTGTTTTCTGAAATACTGAAAAATACCTTTTTATAGTAGGTTTCGGCAAGTCAGGCTCTAAAAAAGATCTGTGTATTGTTTTTGGTTGTTATGTCTCTGAGATTTCTTTTAAGCCATAACAGTACTCCCTGCTCCTATTTTTTCCCCCTTGCATGCCATTTATTTACTTGTTAAACTGAATCATGTGTGCTCTCAAATTTCCTGTATTCTTGATTTGGCTAATTTTATCCTTGTAGTGTTGTGATTGTCTAGTCTCTATATTTCCTGTAAGCTGGTAGTTAGATCTAGAGGCTTCATTCATTTTAGATTCTCTTTTTTTGGAGGCAGGGAAGGCAAAAAGAGGGGTGCAAGAATACTTAAAAGATGGTCTGATTGCAAAATGTCAAGAGGCATTTAATGTGTAGTTGTCATACTTTTGGTGATGTTAAGAATATTCTGTGGGTTTAGGTGTTACAGCCTGATTGATCAGTAATAAAGTTTCTTGTCAATTTTTTACTGAATGGTTTTTGCAGTCATTGATAATCATTGTGTAGGATTTGTGAAACAGATTTTTCTAATTATGTTATTTATTCTGTATTTATTAATTGATTCTGATATTAAAAACTTACCCTCATTAACGATTTGGCTACCCTGATGTGTACACCACACAGAAAAATACTTGATTTTTTTCTCTTTGTCACCTTTTCATATTAATAAGTTGAGGTTCCACAGTTAACCAGTGTATTTTTTTAAGCATTATTATGAACTTGTGGACTTATATATTTGATGTGTTTAATCCAGTGCTGTCATTATTCTTGATGCCCCAGTTTTTCTCTTTGTCCAAGAGTGCCCCCTTCCCACTATACACGCACATAGAGCTATGTACACATATAGCTATATGTATATATGCACATATCTATATATTTTTTTAGTAAGAGAAAAATTAAGTCATTAGTTCCTACTAACATGGCCAATTCAAATTAAAAATCATAGAGTTTTAAAATTTAATACCCTTTCGATTTTATATTTGTGTATCTTTTAAGGTTAAAATGCTTCTTAATGGCAATATTACATTATTCTGTTTTTCTGTAATAGTTACAGAATCACAGAACTAACAAAAATTACTGAATGTTGTTTCAGGTTGCTTTCTCATTATTTTTCTGTTTAGGATATAGCTAGGGATGGAGAGTCAAAAAACATGAATTAAAATCACTAGAAATATTATTTCTCTGTGTGATCATGTCCCTGTGTGGTCATATCTTTATGTACAGATAGATTTATTTCATTGTTTTTCAAATTTCAGAGATTGTTTTTTTCTTTTGAGTTAATTTTGTTTTCTAATTAAATAAAAACAGTATACATGGTTCTAAAGGCAAAACCATACTTTTGGAGTGATCAGATTTCTCTATCCCGGTCTTCTTGCTTTGTCCCTTCTCATAAAGGTCTTTTATTACTTTCTTTCCTTTGTTTCTTTTTGAAGAAAGAAACAAACATATACATATTCCTTTTTTCCCTTTCTTATGCAAAGGAAGCACTGTATACATTATTCTATACCTTGCTTTTTTACTTTCATAGGGTATCCTAGAGATCACCACCTCTTAGTATGAGAGAACTTCATCATCCCTCTTTATACCAGCACAGTACTCCATTGCATGGGATCTGTCATAAAATGGCTTTTATAGAGGTTTAAATTTTAAAAGGATCACTCTGAATTCTTCATGGAAGTGACTACTTTCTCCCTTCTTTGCCCTTTTTTCCTTATTTTTCAGAAAAATCGTTGCTTATATGTATTTGGTGGCCAGCGATCGAAGACCTATTTGAATGATTTCTTTAGTTATGATGTGGACTCTGATCATGTAGACATAATATCAGATGGCACCAAGAAAGACTCTGGAATGGGTAAAGGCATTTAGTGATTCTTCTCTCGTGTCTTAGCTACTTTAGAAAGAAGACTGTAGACCATTATCTTTTCTTTCTAACCATTCTTCACCCTTTCCCTGTGTCTTTAATTGAAGTAATTCTGAGTAAGAGGAAGAAAAATCTACCAGCTAAATTATTCAGTTTTATCTGTTTAAAATATGTAAGTTATTATTTCCTTTTATAAATTTCTAAAGATATTATTTATGTGTGTGCTTGTTTGGTGGAGGGGCTTTGCAAAAATTAGTATCTTAAAAACTCTTATTCTATTTTTGCTAATCCTTTCCACCTTCTGCTTTTACTATAGTGACTAATATAACAGGCACTAGCATGATAGAGTATGTCTTTGTTCTGAGGGAGGACCTAATGTAACTGGTAATGCCTTTTAAGTTTGCAAGCTCAGCATCCAAGTTATTCTCCTAAGTACTAGGGTGATTGATTTGCTTGAGATAGTCCCAGTGTTATGCATATTGCCCTGCATAGTTATTAATAGTGCCCCATTCACTCTCAAGTGTCTTATTTTGGATAATAATTTACATAGTTACCCTGTGACTATCACACACAGAAGAATAATATTTGTTTAAGACCCAATGGTTTGAAATGTCTAATTTGAGAAATTAGATCAGCTTGCTTTTTTTTTTCTTTTAGCTTTTTTAAAAAAATTTTTAATGTGTATTTTTGAGAGAGAGAGAGACACACACACAGGCTCGAAGCAGACTCCAGGCTCTGAGCTGTCTGCACAGAGCCCAACGTGGAGCTCAAACTCACAAACTGCAAGATCATGACCTCAGCCAAAGTCAGACACTTAACCAACTGAACCACCCAGGGACCCCATAGCTATTATTTAGGAAAATAGATCTTTTTATTAAAATAGTTGATATTAATGAGGAAAAACTTAAAAAAATTTTTTTGACAAAAGAGCACCATACTTAAAAAGTGGACATGAAGGGACCCTTAGGACTCTTTTCCCATATGTCTTACTAGACAGAGGCTAGAGCTTTATTTTCTGGGGGAAATGAGTACAGAGGTGTTTTTTTCCCACCATACTTAAGCTACTTCCAAGATAGTAGCAAAGTGTGATAGTAGCAAACAGTGATAGGAGCAAAGACCTAGTACAAAAATTCCCTCTAAGTAAGCTCTAATGACAATCATTTGGAGATTTTTCAAGATTGGTTGTTATTATATAGTAACTTGCAGAATTGATCAGGATAATGCTTTGCTTACGGTTATGGCTAGCTTTAGAGCCAGCAACATGTGATAATTATTTTTTTTGTTCAATTTTGTTTTCATTATAAAAGTAATAATATGTAGAGGATTTGGAAAATATTAGAAAGATGCAAAAAAAAGAAAATGTATCAAACTATCCAGACATAATCTGTTACCATTTTGGTATATTTCTGTCTGGTTTTTGAATATTTATTGTGACTCATAAAGCAAAGTAAAGGGTTTGTCTTCTGGGAAGGCAAAGTCGTCTTCTTCTCTGAAAAAGCCTCTTAGAGTTGGCTTTGGCATCTTCTGGGAATAGAGAAGCAGGGATTGAGGCCTCCTGAGTCTGGGTTTTCAGCTGAGGTAGAGAGAGAATACAGTGCTTATAACCAGAAAGTTCAGAGTCTGGTGTAGTTACCTCCAGGACTCATTACTCTTAACCCATCCTGGGCCTCAAGATAGTCATAGAAGTGGATTCCTTAACAATAAAATAATAATAATACAGTTTCCCAGGGGTGCCTGGGTGGCTCAGGCAATTGAACGTCTGACTTCAGCTCAGGTCATGATCTCATGGCTGGTGACTTTGAGCACCGCATCGGGCTCTGTGCTGACAGCTCAGAGCGTGGAGCTGCTTCAGATTCTGTGTCTCCCTCTCTCTCTGCCCCTCCTCTGCCCGCTTGCTCACGTGCATGCATGCTCTCTCTCTCTCAACAATACATAAATATTAAAATTGTTTTAAACAGTTTCTCAAAAAAAGGTATTTATTGTATGAAACTTTGCAGAATTTTATATTCAGTTTTTAAATTAACATTAAATTGTGCTAATATTTTTTCATCATATGGTTTTACTACCGTGGACTAGAAGTATTAGGAAAAAAGACAAGTGTGGATTCATTCCCTAATTATTGCTATAGTCAACTTCTGTGAAATCAGAATCACCAGTTTTGCTATGTGTTCTTTAATTTTTAATTGATTTATGGTGAATTATTTCATGCAAGCAAGTTTATTCATTAATTTAATGATATTTGTTGGTCATCTGCTAACATCTTAAGTTTGACCCTCTCTTGTCTTCCCTCCTAACATATTTTGGTGCCTTCTGTATGCTGTGTATGTTTAAGAACTTTGAGAAATAGCTGTGGGCCTGGGGGTTAAGATCCCTCCTCTTAGAGGACTCACATGCTACTGGAGAGACTTGCAGTTGCCATTCAGTGCTGTGAAGAAACCTTCCATGAGAATAAGGCATGTCCCATGTAGATAAAGCAGGTTGGAAACCATCTCTGCAGAGGTCATCTTTAAGATTTAAGATGAGAAGTAGAGTTAGGAAGAACCACATTAAGAAGTGAGAGAAGAGCAAGTACAAAGGTCCCAAAGCAGGAAAGAACTTAACGTATTCCAGAAAGAGATGGGGCTGGTGCCAGTTGAGGGTGGGGAGAGTTGGTATGAAATGAGGTTAGCAAACTGGTTAAGACTGATTATTCAGTGCCTTGCACAAATGCAAGAAATGTGGAATTCTTTTTTTCTACATAGAATAGGAATTTATTGAAAAGTTTAATGCCAGGGTCATGATCTGATTGATTGAAGTTTTGAAAATATCACTCTGTGTCCAAATATCACTCTTTTGTCCAGATACACATTTTCCAAGTGCTTAATTTTGACAGTGTCTACAAGTTGCAGCGTCCAAAGGTCGTATGGTGCTTTAAGAGAGGATTTTTCTGGCAGAGTTGAGCATCTGGCTAGACTACATACTTGGGAAGTTTTCCCGCCTAACAGTGTTGTGGTTTTACTTAGAATTGTGGAACCTCAGCAGCTCTGTCGGGTGTGTTCAAATGAAACTGAAATCCCCTTCTTCTCATTTTTGTTTTTCTTTCTTTTTCTCCATCTTCCTCCCTCCTTCCTTCTCTCCCCTTCCTCGTCTCTCTCCCTCTCCTCCTTTCCTTCTTTTTTTTCTCTTCCTTCCCATTTGTCCCTTCCTCTCTACCCCCCACCCATATAGCTCTGTCTCCCCTCACTCCGCTCCCCTCCTGGGTTTCTGATACTCCTGTGGCCAGAATTGAGAACCACTGTGTTAGCTCTCCAGAGCCCATCTCAGTGTGTAGTCATGTCACCTTGGACAAGTTACCTAATTTCTCAGCCTTAGCTTGTGTGTCTATAAGTAACCAAAATTATGTAGTATCCCTGCTCGTGGCCAGATTGACCCTCTAGTTTCAGCTGGTGTTACTGTTGGGTACCTCAATTTTCACGAGAGTCTGCCAGTGCTACCTGTAGGTTCACTGATCTATTCAGTAATTAACTCATGCTAGTTTTACCTCCATCTTTTCTCTGTCCCATTGCAACCTCACTAGTGTGGGCTGTCATCACCTGTTTGGCCTGTCTTCCTGATCTTCCTCCTCTTCTTCTTCTTCTTTTTTGGTTTGTCTATTTGTTTTTACAAGATTTTATTTTTAAGTAATCTCAAAGTCACAACCCTGAGATCAAGAGCTGCTTGCTCCATCGACTGAGCCAGCCAGGGGCCCTGAAAACATATATACTCTGAACAGAGACTGTTACATTGATTATTTCATTAAAACCTCTCAAAGGCTTATCAAGTTCTTGTATTTACTATAGTCATTTTGTGTTGAGAATATAGTTGATAAATATTTACTTGATTACACTTGACTGTAATAAGTGGTCTTCCTCTTCTTGTGTACCCCACCTCTCCCCCCAAGTCTTTCTCCATACTGCAGGCAGAATATAGTAGTTTTGTGTTACCAGTGCAGTGCAGAATCATGTGCTTTAACATTTATTCAACAGATACTTTTTGTATCTAGCACCTACTAGGTGCTAGATACAAGCTAAGTGCTAGAGATCACAATTGGGAATAAGGGCTCTATCTTCCTAGAGCTTACAGGTGTGTATGGGGAGAACAGAGAAGTAGATTAACAGCCTTACCTTTGATTAGTGTTAGCGAGATAAAAAAAAAAATCTCTTTTTAAAATGTCAACTTGATAGGTCTTCTTCCTTGATTAAAATTTTTTTCATGGTTTCCTTTGCCCTCAGGATTAGGTCTAAACTCAGCCTGCTCTCAGATTCCTTTATGATATGCCCCACCTTAGTTCTGCAGCCGTATTTTTAGGATCCACCTTCACCTTTCCACCAATTCTTTGTCTTATGACTACTGAATATTAATTCTTTATAGATACAGTACTTTTTCTTGCCTTTGGGTTTCTGCCCATGCTCTTCTCCTTACCTGAATCACTCTTCCCTCTGACTTCCAAAGTGTAGCTATGTTGTGCTCGTGTTTCAGGTCTTAGCTTACAAATCATTGTCTCCTGAAATTCTCTAACCCCTCAAGCCCAGGTGAAGGGTTAAAGCATGTGGTTTTAATATTCATTGTAAACACAATTCTAGATATTCATCTGACAGTATAATCTTGACTGCTTTTCCAAACCTGTGAAAAGCTTATCTGAAATACATAGACTTTAATCAAGATTGCCTAAAGAGCGTTCAATCTTTTCAGTACTCCAGATCTCCTAAAAAATCTTTCACTGGATTAAGTTAGACCAATCAGAAAACCTCATGTCAGAACTATGTTATATTGTATTGTCCTCCCATAGGATTACTTTCACTGATTTTTAAAAGTCCATTTAATTTTATTTTACCTTACTAGATTATTATTTTTAAGCCATGAAAAGTCCTTCTAAGGACAAGGCAGGATACTATTTAAATTTCCACATTATTAAATATTCTTGGAAAACACCAGTTTTGTTCCATTACATGGATGCTCTGTAGCTTATTTAA